AGAGGCTTACCTTACTCAGATCGCCTCTGTTTGTGCAACTCTGGCGAAATTGAAACTTTAGACCATCTGATGTTTCGCTGTCCCCATTGGACTCAAGATAGTGGGATATATATCATTCCTATTCTTACGAAGATGAATCTTCCCTTGCAACCTTGGGTGCTTTCAGTATTGTTGTCTGATTCAAATGCCGATGGACTGATAACAGCTAACGTGGCACGGTTCCTGGCTAAGGTTGCTGCTCTCAAGAAACACTGAAAGCTTTATCATCTCTGCAAACACCTGTACCGATTTTAATCTTTGGAGGATTTTAGTTAGTTGGCTCCGCCCCAAGTGTAGTTAGGTTCTTTTAATTCTCTGGGCTATGCCAGGGTTTTATATGTTTACTGATTGTGACTATGTACTTGTCATATTTTATGTCAATTTTATGTACCTATTTTACCCCTTTTGCATTCTCTGTTGGTCAAGACTTCGGTCATATAGACCCATAATAAATTGAATTGAATTGAATAAATAAAAGCAGCACACATTACCCAAGCAACAGTGGCCCTTCCCGCCCAAAGTCACATGATATGGGAGGAGCTAGCACTCTCCCCTCAGTTCTCTTTTTGCCGCCACAAACTGAGGATGTGTGTCAGCGAGCTGAACTGGGGCCTGAGGAAAAATTTCTTCGTTCACCTCAGGCCTGTCTTCTCAATGGCTCTCTTTAAAAAATGTAAGGACTGTGGTGGTAAAATGGCACAATCCGATGATCATTCCTCCTGTATTCTTTGTTTGGGGGAAGGTCATAAGACGTCATCCTGCAAGGTTTGTAAGGCCTTAACCCCGAGGGCCCTGGGAGGCAGAGCGGCTCGACTCAAGGCCACTCTCTGGGAGAAGGCCCTCAGTGCTTCCGATGGAGCGCCTCAGCAGTCGGAACCAGCCGGCCATTCTGGGGCTGAGTCACAGCAACTTCCGTCGGTGAGTACTGCCCCTCCTGTGATGGGGTCCGACATTGCAGAGAAGAGAGAGAGACCAAGGGCGGACTCGGAGCCTCCGGCTAAAAAGCTGAAAAAGAAAAAACGTGTGCACAAACAGCAATCTCCCCCGTCTCCGCCACATCGTTCTTCGGCTGATCCCCCAGCGTCGTCGTCTCGGCGCCAGCAGTTGCCCTCCCCTCGGCGCTGAGGTCATGATTCCATCGGTACCGCACCGAGGTCGATGTCAAGAGGACGTTCCGCTCCACGACTCCGATCTGTCTCGGCGTCGTGTCAGCCCCGATCGCCTTCGGTGCCGTCGATTTTTGGTCGAGAGTCCAGGCGATCGTCTCGGTATCCTTCCCCCCGAATACTTTCATCGGATTTGGAAGTGCAGATCATAGATCAGCTGGCTTATCTGCGCCAGATGGACGTCCAGATGCCGGATGCATGGTGTCCCTGTCCGCTGTCCACGCATACAGAGGATTCACGCCACCGGTGTTGCCAGTCGCCTCGATCGGATGTTCATGACGATTTTGGGGACTGGACCATCGATTGTACTCCATTGGACCTTGGTGCTGATAGGGACTCCGATGTCGGTTCTGAGCTGGCTTCGCTGCCATCATCTGACGATGTCAGGGTGCTACCAGCGTCTGTTTCACCTACTGAAGACCTGACGACGTTGGCGGACCAGCTGAATCGAATTGCCAAAGCATTGAATTTGCAGCATTCTGCAGCACAGCCAAAGACTAAGGATCCTTTGATGCAGGCACTGTTTACGCCCGACTCTGGTCCTGTGGCATTGCCTCTTTTACAGGGCATTCAAGAAGTTATTATGGCAGCATGGTCTAATCCTGCTTCTATATCTCCATCTCCAAGGCGTTTAGATTCCTTGTATAGGATTAATGATGTTGATTGTTCGTTTTTATTTCATCACCCGCAGGCAAATGCTTTTGTGTCTGAGATAATCCCGGCTACAGGCAGGCATGGTTCCCGGTCTTCTCCTAGTGATAAGGAGGGATGTAAATTGGATGCTCTCGGGTGTTGAGTATATTCCTCAGGAGCAGCAGGCCTCCGTGTGGTCAATCTATCAGCCATTATGGGCCTCTACAACAGGTTGCTCTGGGAAAAATTGATGCCTTTTGTGGACGCCCTTCCTCAAGATAAGCAGCTTTTAGTGAAGACGTTGATAGAGGAGGGATTACGGTTAGGTAAACAACAGGTTACAGCCGCCCGTCATGACGCAGACTGCCATAGCCGGGCCATGGCTTTAGGTTTAGTGCTCAGATGTCATGCTTTGCTGAGAGCCTCTGCCTTGCCTTTCGATACCCAAGCCAAACTAGAAGACTTACCCTTTGAGGATAAAGAGCTTTTTAACCAGGAAACTGATGATGTCCTGGAGAAAATCCGCAAATACAAGCTCCAGGCAAAATCACTTGGCATTACCAATGTGAATGCC